TAGATTTTTTATATTTAAAATAAGATGTTTATCCTGTATTTGATTGTATTTATCTGCAGTTAGTTACACGAATTCAGTTATGGGATGAAATCGGATAGGGATGAAAGGGTTTAAGAGTTTTAAGAGTTTAAGAGTTTTTAAGAGTTTTAGCCAAATGCATTATAATATAGTATAGATATATATATTTTGAATCTGCAGCTGAGAGGTTTCGAGTTCGCAAAAGCTGTAACCTTAGTGGCTGAACCATTCAGTGTGGAGAATGGCCTTCTTACCCCGACGTTCAAGGTGAAACTTTATCATCGTTATTGATTTCTGAAACAACTTTTATAAAAAGTAGATCTTAAAAAGGAGTTGGTGTTGTTCCAGGTGAAGAGAGCTCAGGCAAAAGCATACTTCGCAAAGGAAATATCAAAAATGTACGAGGAGCTTTCAACGATGGATCCGACTCTTGATAAACCATTATGAGTTGTTGAATTTTGGCAATAAGGTACAAGTTTTAAGATAATTGTTTAAAATGGTTGTGGATTGTTGATCTGTAGCTAGTTTATTAAATCATGTAAAAGACCAACATTAAAGATAATTCTTCAAAATTGATGTGTTACGTTTGTGTGTGTGTAGTGTGTGTGTGTGTGTTGTGGTTCAAATCAAGCATGTGTTGCATCCTCTGGACCAAATTATTGAAATCTGTATATGGAAAGCATATTGAAAATGGAAAAGTCAAACACGACCATTATATATTTAATAACTTTTGGAGCCTTCTTATTTGACATTTTGCTATACATACATTTTCTAGCATTGGTACATGGTATTATTGTTTAAGACTACTTACTTATGTGTTAAGGAAAGCGGCATGCAATCTAACCTTACAAGCTTAGTCATCATTTACACTACCGATTATAAGCAAAATCATTGTTCACTAACATAATTCAAGCTCGAGTAAAACAATTCAACGATGACTTGATATGTAAGATCAGGGGTGTAAATGATGCTAGTCGAGTTCGGGTATCAATATACTCGACTCCAACTCGATGGCTCGAATTCGACTCGAAAACTTACGAGTAGTTAAAAACTAAACTTTACTCGAACTCGATTGCAATTTTTATACTCTAACTCGAATTAAGCTTGAACTCGAGTCAAAATTGAGCCATTCTCATCCATTGAAAATTGAACCAATCTTACCCATTGAAATTTATGGAAGTTTAGGGTGTTCTCTTAGTAATTTTAAAACTTAAATCTCTTAACTTTTATAAAACTAAATGGTTGCACCTCAAACTTCATTATCTAAAAAAACAAAGTTACAAATTCGTTTCACGTCCCTCTCTTTCTAAAACATCTCTTCACCCTTCATTTGCTATATGTCTTCCAACATGGGATAACTTCACAACACTTCTATAGTTCTTTTTGTCTTTTTTGAATTATGATTTTAATAAAAAAAACACAATTGATTAGTTTTTACAGTTAAAAAATGCACAATTTTGTTCAAATATCTAAAAATATAAAATATTTTTATTATGTTATGTTTTATATATTATACTATAAAACTGATTATATTTTAAAACTATTTATATATATAAAAAATCGAGTATCTCATGAGCTTTTCGAGTCGAGTATTAGGTTGCTCGATTCGACTCGTTAACAATCGAGTCAAGTGTTGACGGAGCTTTTGATAGAGTCGATCTCAAGTAGCTCACGAGTTGTCTCGTGTCATTTACACCCCTATGATTGTTGGAAATAAGTAGTAGCAGTTAGAAAAAACATATCAGTTATAAAACTGATGATAAGCGCACGACTCGTGCTCTTTACAAGTGGAAAAATGTACAACCCATGTGGATCAATTGAAAGCATACAAACAATAAACACACGGACCATGCCATTTTCAAGAGAATAAACGCATGGCCTGTCCACAACATTCTATTTCCAAGCACGACCCATGCTCCTTTTATGACAAAATGCACGGCTCGTTCACTGCCATTTGTGTAACACCCAAAATTTTTATGAATTCAAGTTGTTCCTCATCAATAGAATAGTTTGGCAAAGTAATGGGAGCTTTGGTCTTTGATCGAATGTCAAAAATAAGCAAGAAAGGCTCAAATCGTGAAGAAGAGGGTGTTTTGCGACCCTTAAATTGCGACCTTTGCACCCCGGACTAGGGTCGCACTTTATGTATTGAATGGGGTGGTTTCCGGGGAGAAGCGACCCTTGTTTTGTGACCCTGGGTGGCTGGGTCGCACATAGCTAGCAGGGTTAAAAATCAGATTTCGGGGTAAAACTTCATTTGGCCATAACTTCTTCATCTCTACACCGTTTTGGGTGATCCGTTTTGCTATGGATTCATTTTTTTTTGCTCTACAAGATGGGAACAATGATGATTAATGATTCTTTGATGATTTTGGAGCTGTAGTTTGAGGATTTCATCTCTTCACCAAAGGAAACTCAAAATTGGGGTAAAACCTAGATTTAGCCTAAATCTAGCAAGGTGAATTCAAGTTGTTTTGTGAAAACTATGTACATGTCAAAATGTGTATTTTAAAGTATTAATATGTTTTACTTGATACTTATCAAATGTGTTGGGTATTTAATGAAGTTTTCCTATTTGGCATGTTCGAGTTATAAATCTTAAAAAATGCTAATATTTGGGACTTTTAGACAATTTGGCAACTAAATTATAAATGTGGTTTGTTTTGAGGATTTATCTTATAAATGGAGATTATTTTGGTGTATTTGGTTTGAAAAATAATATTGTTATGTTACGAGACATTTTGGAAATATAAATGATATGAGTTCATTTGGAAACTGGCTTGTCTCAACCAATGAAGGTCTTGTAGTAAATAATATTTTTGGGAGAAAGTGTTTGCATAAATGCAGGTTTCATTTGTTTACTAGTTATTTGAATTGTTGAGCTTTTGCTCGGTTTTAACTTAAATGAGTCTTAAGGACACTTTTTCAATTTAAAGCGCTTTATATTGAGCTTTTGGAATTATATGCAATTATAGCATAGTTTTATAATATATTACACGTTTGAATATGTTAGGCATTCAGTTGGAGTCATGTAATTTTATGACTAGAATGCAATGGATCTATTGACATAGAAGTCGTTTTTGCTTGGGGATGTCAACCCTGTATTGTAACTTGAAGTAGGCATTGGGTTTTGATTGACAATAAGGTGTGGGCTATTAGAGTCGAGCATCGGTCATCAATCAATATAATGTAATTCCTAGCGTTCATAACTAGGAATAGGCATTGGGTCTTCATAGACATTAAAGTGTGGACTCTTAATGTAACTTTAAGTGAACGAGCTTATTATTTCATTTGATTAGATACTGGATTTGGTTGATGTCAATGGTACTTGTAAGTGATGCTCATATAATATTAGCTTGTGACTTACTTATGTGTTCCGTGACAACAAATGGTAAATCGGGTCTCCTCCGTCATCTTCGGATGCTTTATGCCCTTCCATGGGTAAGCGTGAGTTAATTTTATAAATAACTTGATTAAAACTATGTTTTTTGTTTTAATGTTTTATACATTTATTCTTGGTCATGTGAGTATTGGATTTCGGTTGTGTAATTGAGTATTTTGATTTATGGGTTTGCATTAAGAAAATGGTGGGTTTAGGGAAGATGTTGCTTTTACGGTAAATATATTTCATTTGAAAATTCATGATTTAAATCAGCAGTCTTTCGGTTTTACCGTTTTATGATTATGATGAAAACTGCTTGAACTCACTAGGTGTTAAGCGTATCCTTTTTCCTCTGTCGACATGTGCATCAGGTTTGTGGGAAATGATACTAGCGACACCGTGATGAGATGAGTGCTAGATAGTTGCATGAGAAGGTTTTAGCTTATCATTGATGCCTTTCACCTTTAGAGATAGTGATAGTTATTGGGTTAATTGAGTATTTATGCAAGACTTTATCTATCTTTTGTTAATGATGATTTTATATTTGATATTCAAAGTAATTCAAGTATTGATTAATAGAAAATGAATTTACCCCTTTATTTGTTGAATTTTAATGAAAATTTTAAATTATTCGTTATTGGTGTTACAATCTACCACTTAGTAACTCACCATACATAACCATCCAATGGTGCTAGGTTCTAGTTAGGTTATTCCCTAAATATAGACACAAATTGACTTATTAACAACCAATTAAAACTTGTGTGTGAATATAATTCTACATAAAATTGAACTTGAGAAACATTGAATGTACTTGAAGGTTTAATTCTATAACAATAAAACCGTGTGAAATTAAACAATACTAAAATAAAAAAAATAACTTCAATCAATTAGAAATCAATAATTTCATCCTTCATTAGAGTCTTCGATATCAAGAACATCATTCGATCGTCTCTTAATATTCGTTCAGCTATACATGACTGTTTGATGGTGGCTTAATGATATAGATAGTGGCTTACTCAGTTAGCTTTTAGGGGTGAGCTTTATATAGAAAGTCAAGTTTTTCCAGATCTGTTATTCTCAATTGGAAAACATGCTCATTCCATTTATGAAAAAGCTCTACCAAACAAAACCCTTCCCAATCTATACAGACGGATTAATCCACACATACAACTTTATCCATATAAGACTTAATGGAATACCAACCAAACAATAGGCCTGGAAAGGTGGTGGAGTCGTAACCATTGGTGGAACAACGAACAACAAATAATCTGTGAATCTGATTCGTCTGACGTAGAGAGCAATAGTGATTCAGATTCACTTGAACAAACGGTTAACTGGGCAATGGCTGAGGGCGATAGGGTGAGCTTGACAGTACACTAATATGTGGAGGAGAAGAAGCTCTATAGTAAATTTGATTTGCGGCTATGTAGATTTTTTTCGAAATAAACTTGAGGGCACACCCTCGGCCAAAGCTGGTTCTGCCCATACCGCAAAGGTCGCTTGGCTCGGGAGCACGAGAATGAGAGGGAAAATCTTTTTTCAACTTTCAAAACCTAAATTGATACTAAAATGATTTACATGTTTCTTTCTTTCTCTCTTTTTCTGGGTCATGGCCAAAATCTTGTGGAGACGCTGAAGCACCCGATCAGCTGTTGGTCTTGCATCAGGTTCGAGGCTAACACATGCCATAGCTAATTGCAGCGTAAGAGCCAACTCTAGTTGTATGTGGGTTTTCCCCTTTTGAGTTGTGGATCCAACCACTGCTCTCGAGTCTTCCTTGGGAATTGACATCACCCAAGTCCATACCTTCTTTTCCCAATTTGGTGGATTTTCTGGTCAAGAGTTGGTAACATTATTAACCTCTTGTTATTGTTGAGTTACGGGATCTCAAGCATACCGGAAAATAAAACCGTAACCCTCCAAGAACCCATACGAATCGGAATAAATCGGGTGTTTCGAAATTATACCTCACAGTTAGCGAAACTTTGAATCACAACAACAAACAAAGCTTGATGCATCCATGGTATCCACGTGAACAATCTGAATTCTTTGCCTTCTCATGATGCTAGTCACTGATACCTGGGATATAAATTCATTTTCCAAGAAGACACCAGTACGTCTAACAAACACTTTATTGTCGTGAGGATGATAGAAATAATATCCCATATTTTCTTTGGGATATCCTACAAATATGCATTTATCATATTTTGGT